GGGGGGGTGACCCTCGGTTACCGCTCCGGGTGTCACCCAGCCTCGGGACGCCCCTGCCCATGCATATGTTATTTGTGGTCCTCAAAAATCTTAACTTGTATTGAACTGATAAGAATTCTTCTAGGGCAAGGACAGTTTGTAAACTCCCATGCTGACAAATCTCCTGGAGCCATTCCAATGAACTGGAACCCCACTGTCAATGCTCACTGGTTCATATGAGCATGTGATTGCATTTATTGAACCCATTTTTGGTATCCTTGTACATTGGGTCTTGAAGTGACACTAAACTTAGGAGTTAAATCTTATAAAAGCATTCAAGTACCTGAACCTTTATTTTTGCATTATTCGGCTGTAGATCCTCAAATCTCATTTCATCTCTGAAACCATGCTTGTTCCCCATGGTCCCTGTGTGCATGTTCTAAAGTAGCCACCGCTCCAAGCTCACTGCCATGATGGACTACAATCTCTCTACAAATTAGTAAATTATACATGACATTGTAGTCCATCACGGGAGGGAGCTTGGAGCGGTGACTAATTTACAACACACACAGGGACCATGGGGAACAAAAGTAGCCCCCCTCCAGAAGGAAAGACAGTGTCGGCACCAATTCAGAGATGATTTGAGGCACTACAGCCGAGTGATACACAAATAAGATGCTTTTGTTTTTATTAGTTCAGGTACTTGAATGCATTTTTAAGGTTTAACCTTAAGATCCAGAAAATCAGGGAAGATTGCATAAATGTTAACATCAGCACATCATTATTCATCTCTATTCAGTGTTCACCATGAATTTTAATTATCTACGGAGCGAATGAACTTTGAGAATGAAAAAGCATGAGTTATACAACAGTGCTATTTCATATGGGAGGAGAAACTTAGCAGATATGTCTATAAACCAAAAGCTTAACACTGTGGAAATGTAACTTTACTGATGTATTTATAGACTATATCTAAAAATAGAGGCAGTAATAATGTAACACGATCCAGTCTAATCCTAAAGATGTGTGATATGTGCTCAAACATTAAATAAGGGACCATGGTCATTTGTTTCTGACCATGACCTCACCTGCCTTAGAAAGCTGGCTTACATCCTTAGACATTTCGGACATGTGGCTGAACTAAGCTAACATGTACTTTATCCATTCAGAAGAACATAAGCCACTTAAATAATCTGCCCCCTCGACTGCTCATACTATCCAACCTGACATTCTCTCCCCCCCACCTGATTCACCAGCTGGAACCAATTGCAAAAATGGTACTTCTGAGTAAGGAGGAGCGGACAATGAACTTTAAAACGGTACCAACTATACTCATACTCTCTATTTACACCTTTGGTCATGGTAAAGTCCTTTATTTTCTGTATTAAGGGAGAAGGTACATATAATATAGAGAAATAGAACAGTGTCAGCTCATTACCTTTTCCTATTAAGACCCCTATTTTGGAATCTAGCTTCTCTGCAGGGTTACAGCTTCTTGACACCAGTTTCAGCACTGGCAGAAAAGGTCGAACATCACAGAGTCGTCGGGTCTCATCCTCCAGTTCCTCATGAACAGCCGTCTGATTGACACACTGGAACATGTAGGAGTCAATCTCCAGGAGCAAATGGAAGAGGGGGTAACGTTGTGCATGTTTCCATGCAAGCTGAAAACATACAAAACAACATATCATTGGAGACAGATGACCGCTGGATAAAGAAAATAGGAAACACAAAATCACCAAAAGAACCCTGTATTGGTGTATAGACTGCCCATTTCTTTACTGGACTACGGTACAGCTAGGGACACACATATTTTATCTTTTGCCACATGTGCTCCAAGATGGAGACTCTCATAGTTTAAAGTTAGGACCGCACTACATAGAGGTGCCTTGGTGCGGCTTTCACATTTTCTGCAGAAGACGTGTATCTAAACCTCTGTTTTTAACCTTTGCGGTGAGACAAGTTTTTTTGCATGCTGGCTGGTGAGTGTGCTGGGAAAATGTTTGCTGTTACTGTTTAAAGCCCTTCCATGTGCACCTTGCTGTAAAGCTGGTAACAAATTGATGAGTGCGGTTGCCATTTGTTTTGCTTGACACATATAAGATGTACACATCACTACAGTTATCATAACTGGATAATAACATGAAATGTTTATCAGGTGGACTTATGCCTCTTCCAATTCTCATTCCTTTGTATCCATATAGGATACTGGATCGAAGGGTGTAGAGAGCACCAGCTACCATGAAAAAATGGAAAAAGGTCACTTAAGGGGCATTCTACATTTATGTAACGTCATCAGCATGTGTATGTGTATATGTTTACAGAACTCTGCATCTTCTAAAAGTTGTAAACACTATTTGTACAAGTGGGGGCAATATTATCTCATTACATATTCATGTTGTACTGTCTCCTTAGTAGCACAATGCAGTGACTGCCTATGGACAGGGCTGTAATCACATTTTCAGTGAAAGCAATATACAGTATTGTCTGGTTAGCCACTGCGGGCAGACTCCATTATTCTGTACAGAAAGTGACCATGAAATATAGCACAGCAAGGAAGTACAAAATGTAAAAAATATCTTACATTTACCTTCAGGCAATCTTTCCAACTTTTAAATAGAATTCATGAAAATTACAGGTTTGTTTAAATGTGCTACTTGCATGTAACTCACGTGTTTAATCTGCGATATGGATGCATCCCGAGGTACCACCATCTGCACATAGATTCCAGTGGGGAGTAGGATGTCCACAGTGACATCTGAAGGGAGATGTGTATCGGCCGCCCAGATGTCCATGGGATCCAACACAGCGGGAGGCATCTTGCAGCAGGAGGTACTACCTGTGAAACATTGCCCTAGAGGAACAGAAAACATGCTCAGGTCATCATTTGGAGCACTACGTCCAAAAATAAAAGTCTTATGGAGATTAAGTACTAACACACAGCAGCATTCTCTCTCTTCTTATTAGATGTACAGTGTGGTGCCATCCTCTTCCTACATATTACGCAGATATCCATGGTAACTAAAATCACAGGGAATGTTTAAAAAAAAAAACCTTACACTTTGCAAAGCCCAACACTCCAGTGGCTGCAAAATATGACATTACTCTACCACCAAATGACTAAAAACTAAATCTGTTTTTCAGTAAATTGCTTTAATGTGAAGGTTTTCACTGTATACAAACATTACAGTAAACCACGGCCTGGAGAAATCCCAAGAGCCAGGTAAGTTGCTTTACAGAACCTTCTGGCTCCTACACTGGACTAAGTCTCTGGAACTATTTGAGATGACCTTGATGGCTATGGCATAACTCTTGCTTGTTTCATACAATCTCATAACACTACAAGTTGAACGGATCAATGGACATTACACACCAGCAGCCATGCGTCGAGTCACATTGCATCGTTTCTTTTTTTGTAAGAACTTTATTGAAATGTGGTGTGCTAAAAAAAAAACAAAAAAACTGCATGGCGTACTTTTTTTTTTTTAAGCACAACCACCGGAACGCAGTAGTGTGCACTGTGCCCACTCATGACAAGGCAAATTGCCTTGTTTTGCATTCTGTATGTGCTGGTAAAAACCAGCACAGCTTGAACGCATATGGTGTGAACGGCCCTTAAAGTGAACCTATACCCACATCTTTAAAATAGCAACAAAGACACCTTTAGACATTTTTAGTAATGACAATCTACAAACACATACTTACAGATAATTGCCAGCTTTGTATTCTTTGCATACACTATTTCTCGTTTCTTCTCCAGTCTTAGGACAGTGGCCATGTTTACTAAGGACAGATTACTAGCTCTCCTATTACTTCCTGGATTTCTGGCACATGTGACTAGGACATGTGACCATACACATCTCAGGGGAGGAAAATGCCTTTCCCTGAGATCTCGTGAGATTACAGATGCGATTTCACAGCAATGCTCTGCAGATGACAAGACAATCCCAGTGTGCATTGCTTTGCCAAACTGAAGTCATTTTGCCCTTTCATAGCAGGAAGTGAATGCTCTGCAAGTGTAAGTATTTCATAATCACAGCATTTTACACCTGACATCTCTATGTTATTATTAATCATCATACATAGGAGGGACTCATTAGTAGAATTTGATTTTTGAGTGTAAAAGGTCCACTTTGAAGCCCAACTCTACTTTTTATGGTTTTGGGTTAATTTAAACAATTTCAATCTAATGTATCGGTGTATATTTATAAGAGACAAGTATTCTCTCTCTGTCTGGTCAGGGCTCCGATCTCCCCTGGAGACCCTCAGGCTGCGATGGAGCACACAGAGCGTTTGTCTGTACCCAGACTGGGTTGTTGTCTGAGAGAGAAGGTGTTTGAACAGGCAGGGAACTTCAACAGCCCAAGCTGGGCAACTCCATAGCAAGAAGGCCAAATCGGAGTAGTCTATGCGGAGGAACACTGAAGGTCTGTACGGACAAACTATAAACCAGGAGGCTGAACATTTTTAAAGAGACAAAACTTTGTAATGTGATGCTGAAAACTCCTGACAAAGAAGCCTGTTGTACAGGTTCTTGTTGACAAATAAAAGTGGACCTTTACCCCCTTTCACTAAAAATAACACCAGCATGCAGCTCTGCATGGTGATATAAAATCATCTTACATTCATTAGTTAAACAAACATGTTTATTTACTTACAAATAGAATTTATCTACTTCCTGGTCCACTTTTGGCACAAATGATGTAATGTGCCAAAGCGTTGCATCCTGGGAAGGATACATCAGCAGAGCATTGCTGGGAAATCTCATGAGATCTCAGGGAAATGCAATTTTGCTCCCCTGAGATAATGTGCTTAGTCACATGTCTAGTCACATGTGCCAGTGTTCCAGGAAGTAAAGGGAGATCTAGTAACCTGTCCTTAGTTAACATGGCCACTGTCAGAAGACTGGGAAAGAAGAGAAATAAGATATAGAAAGCTGGCAATTATCTAGAAGTATGTGTTTGTGGATTGCCACAAGAGTGGGAGAGGTTGAGTAGTTTAGCAAACGACACTGGACAAGGCTGACACCACTCCAAGTCCATGAAAAGCTGTGTATCAGCCCACAACAGGACTTGGGAGCGGAGTGCATTTCTGGCAGATCACAGGATATTTTTCTGTGCTTGCAGGGCCTTCTAAGGCCTCATGCACACTAGCACGCTGTGTTTAAGCACAACAGAAATGATCTGGTAAGTATAAACAACTTTATGCTTCCCCAATCACTTTCTGTGCTGGGCTTAGTCCCATTTATATATGTTTACACATGTTTAGCACCATAGAACTGGGCTAGTCAGACCCAGAATGCAGAAATGTCTATTTTGGGTAAACTGACCTAGACAGAAGGCACCTAGACACACTTAGACGCCTAGGTGTGCATTCAGTCATAGAAAATTGTTACCGGAGTCCAGGGGCATTTAGAAATTAGCTCCAAACACACCGGACATCAACGTTTTGGTACATGGTGTGCATGAGACCCAAGAGATAAAACAGAGAAATGTGCACGCATCGCAGATACCTGCTGCATTTTCTTTGCCTGGACATATGCCTCAAGAGAGAAATGTGCATATTAGCACAATGATCTTTTTAACAAAGACAACTCGATGGCTGGGTGGATCACTGGCATCTATTGTTTATAGGCACGTATCAAATATACATCCCCTTTTGTAGAGGAAAAAAAGAAAATCCTCGTCAGGTCAATTATTTACATTGACAGAGTTTAATCAAATTTCATTGCAGAGTCCTACCTGCTTCAGTTCTGCTGAAACTGATAAGAGATTCCTATCACATCCTAAATGCTGAGTGGGAGCGCCTCTTACTAGTCACGTAACCAGCCTCAGTGTTGTAATAAAAGCTCTGTATAAATACTTTGAACAGAATGCCCTCCGCCTTGTCACTGTTGGCATATTACATACATTAATTGTTTCTTTTAATGGCTGGCACACCCTAGAACCAGAAGGGTCCTCATCTGACTTCTCTAGCCAACTGAAGACAGGCAAGCGGCTGACCAGTTCATGTATTTGTGCATTAGGACTGAATTTTTAGGAGAAAAAAAATCAGCAAAAGAGGTCACTGGAAATAACTTTCCAAAATGCTAGAGCCAGTAACACCCCAACATTTTAGCATACAAATACTCCAGTCTGATCATTCAGTGTAAAGCAGGCTTATGCGGATACCCAGCGGTGTATTTAACTTTGCTGCTGCCCTAGGCAAGGCAGCAACTGCTCTGTGTCGTGGTGCTGGCGGCGAGAGCGCACTATACAGAGGTGGGTGAGATACCGAGAATAGCTTAAAGTGGACCTTTACCCCCTTTCACTAAAAATCACATCGGCATGCTAATATAAAATCATCTTGGTGTTCATTAGTTAAACAAACTTGTTTTTCATTTACTTACAAATAGAGTTCATCTACTTCCTGGCCCAGTCCTGGCACAAATGATGTAATGTGCCAAAGCATTGCATCCTGGGAAGATTACTTCAGCAGAGAATTGCAGAGCATTCACTTCCTGCTTTGGAAGGGCAAAATGACTTCAGTTTGGCAAAGCAATGCACACTGGGATTGCCTTATCAGCAGACCATTGCTGGGAAATCTCATCTGTAATCTCATGAGATCTCAGGGAAAGGCATTTTTCTCCCCTGAGGTGATGTGCATGGTCACATGTCCTAGCCATATGTGCCAGAGTTCCAGGAAGTAAAGGGAGAGCTAGAAATCTGCCCTTGGTAAACAGGGTCACTGCCAGAAGACTGGGGAAGAAAAGAAAAAAAGTATGCAAAAGAATACAAAGCCGCAATGATCTAGAAGTATGTGTTTGTAGATTGTCATTACTACATATTTCTAAAAAGGTGTGTTTGCTGCTATTTTAAAGACATGGGTAAAGGTCCGCTTTAAGATAAAAACACTAATCAATTGCTTATGCTTGGAAAGAATTATAAATTAACAAATAGAAATGCTCCAGAACACTGCATAGATTACTGGGCCAGTCCATTGACACCAGATATTGCAGTGTGGGGTGAATCCAGAAGCTGGAAATAACCTTCTGCTTCCTGATCTTTTGGGGACTGAGACACCAGGTGTACCAGTCATTTTAAGGCTATGCAGCACTTGCATCTTGCAGCAAGAAAAGCGAGACTATCATGGACAGGGAAGAACAAGGACCACAGGCAGAAAGATCTTTCCTTTCACCAAGGCAAATTAATCTCTTGGTGGGGGGTGGAGTGGCCTTTTAACCAGTTACTTTGAAAAAAAAAGACAAAGTCCATTGGGTTCAAGCAATAGAAAAAAAAATGAATACTCCCTCAGGTTAAACAAAAATCCTTCCCGATTCCCTAAGGCGATCGGATATTTCCTGGATCAACAATCTTCTGTTATTCCTAAATAAACATTAATATCCAGTTCTGTGCATTTAGGAACGCATCCAGTTTTTGGGGGTTTTTCAAACAATTAACGGAGTTGGCTAGAACTAGTTCCGGAAGGAAGCCTATTCCACATTTTCACACCTCTTACTGTAGAGAAGCCTTTTTTCTGTATGAAGAGATTAAAGCCGACCTGTGACAATGAGACTGTCACACGTCGGCTCAGTAGATCGGGAGGTGAGCGAACACATACCGGTGTTCGCTCACTTCTCGAACCTGTCACGGCTCTCTGCCGTGACAGGGTATGTCACAGTCTAGCAAGGTTTGGGTTAGTATGGATCTCAGCTGCGGAGATTGATAAATAGGATTGAGGGTTTGGTTCCCCAATGCACTCAGTACCAAGGGGAACCGCTTAACATCATGTACCCCGACCTATGTGTGTTGGTTTGATGTAATACACTACGCTAATAACGGTAGTACTAAGGAAGTAAGTTTGAGGAAGTGGCAGGCAATAGGTTGAAGTAGATCCGCATATGCTGGCGGACTGCTAGGACAACAGGATTGCTACTGACTCAGTAGTCAAGAGAGCACCGAAGATGTAAATGGAAGTGGATGTAACAGGTGGGAGGATGAGGAAGTGGCAACAAATAGGTTGGAGCAGATCTGCATATGAAGGCGGACTGCTATGAGCAGTTGGTATCTTGCTAATCTCAGTTCATCAAGTGAGCAATGCGGTTATGTTTGGGGGTGCAACAAACAGATGAGTTGTCAATGGTTATCTCTGATCACAGTTCAACAATTCAGCATAAGTAAAGGTGAAGTAGTTTCAACAGGTGGTTGATTACTTGTTAAGCCAAGCCTGAGTTCCCAATACAGCACAACCAGGTATTTGAGTGGAAATAACAGGTGGGAAGTTTCCCAGTTACTTGCGGTTTGCTTGAAGGTATGAGGCAATGTGGATGGTACTTGGGGTGATCGATGCAACCTCAGTGTTGGTCCAATGGCAGGTCCTGGTGTGCAGCAATGAGTCTCACTCTCCAGTTCAGCCTGTAACACACTGTCTCTTGCTCTGTCCTCAGAGCCACTCGCTCGACGTTCCAGAACGATAGAACACCGAGTGAGTGGCTCAGCTGTGTTTTTGAGGAGGAGCTGCAACCAAGGGGAGGAGTCGGCCGTGACGTCATGAACAGACGGCACGCCTCAAACCCGGAGCTCTGATCCGGGTAGGTCTGTGACAGGGTAGGGGATGGATTCCCCCCTTCCCCGCTCCGATCCACCAGCGCTGAATGGCGGAACGGACGGGGGAGGGGGCGGGTACAGCTGGCTCTGCTCTAGATAGGCAGAGCCAGCTGTCACTCACGCAGCTGGGCGGATCTCGACATCAATGTCGGGATCCGCTCCAGCTGCCGCGTTTCAGTATACCGCGAGCTGTAGCTTAGGGTGACGGGAGGACACTAGTTTGTGTCCTCCCGTTACCCTAAGGAGAACTATGGGGAAAAGCCCTGACCCCATAGTTCTCTTTTAAACCTCTAATTCCAGATGCAGAGTGTCCCTTGTCCTTTGCAATAACCTTAAAAAACACTGGGCGGAATAAAACTTAACCCTTGCAGTGGGGCTACTCGCATGAACCTCAGTCTCGTCTGGCTGCTAGACCTTTACCCATAGCATCTCTCCCCCTTGGTGTCCTCAAGTCTAATACAGTGTATTCGATGCAATGACTCATGGGTCCTTAGATTGCCGGCGTGAAGGGAGAGAGAGGCTGCAGAAACTGGTCTACCAGCCAGGTGGGACAGAAATTTGGATGAGTAAAAGCCAAAAGGAGCACGTAAGCCTTGCAGGGTGTGAGTTGGTCTACTGCAAAGGTTAACTTTTATTCTGCCCGGAGTTCTTTAAAGTGAATAACTGTGCACCAAGTTCGTTATATATGTTCTGGTGGCCATAAAAGTCAACAAGAATGCTATAAAACATACATTCTCGTACACGGCACAATACACTGAAACTTTATAATAGTAGCCAAAGGTCATAACTAGGGTTGCCACCTCTACTTCAAGCAAAACCCGAACACTCTAGCGATGCACGGACATTTTTTGGGGGAGAATGGGTCATGGCTTATCCATATGTAAATAGCGCCGCCCATTCATCTGTAAATATCACAGTTGAGACTATTTTCAGTGGGGGGCCAGTAGCCCCTATCTTTATTTTGGTTGCCCCTGTCTGCCTGACATCTTATGTCTGGGTTTTTGCTGGCATGAAACCCGGACACAGGATTCAAAACCTGGACTGTCCAGGTGAATCCTGGAAGGGTGGCAACCCTAGTCATAAACACACAGGATGTCAAGTGTCCCAACCAAAACCTACAATCGCAATGTAATCAGAATAAAAATCCTGTACAATGGTATAAGACAGGGATAGACAAATGAATATGGAATTCAGCGGCCAGTCTGTCCAGTCTAGGAGCCAGCAGGACTTTTTTTTTTTTTAGAAGGCAGCTCCATTGAAAACTAGAAAAAGTTGGTGCCGGCTATCATTTTTAAGAAGCATTGGCTACCTGGGTAACCTCTATGCTCCAAAAAAAAAAATTATGCCAAACTCCAGCAAAGAAAGTGTTTGTTGTATTTACATTTCAATGAAATAAAATGTTACGCTACAGTATCACTTACACACAACTAAACAATTCAGCATTATACAGATAATGCAATTTCGAAAGAATCGCTGACCTTTTGTTTGAACTGCCGCTTGCCCCAGTGTGAAAGGGGTTAACACGTCACGCAGTCATGAGGCAACACTAATAATATCACTTCCCTTAATTGTGTACAACAAACAAACAACATCATGTCTGATGAACAAAGCTGGCATTGTCCCGGAGATGAGGAGTGAATCTGGGCCCCAGCCAATGCGCCATAAAGGGAGAGCTCGCACAATTAGAGTGGGCAGTGAAAGAATATGCAAGTCGGAGAAGAGATGACAGAGGCGACGAGGCTGTACGGGGGAAAAAATAGACATTGCAATATGGAGCATGAGACACACAACTCATTAGGAAAGCACATCAAACTCCCTTAGCTGGCACGTCGGAATCTAGGTCTACCCTGATTATATATATATATATCTTTCCTCCATCATTAAATCTTGCTGGAGCTCAGAGGAGAGGACACTGACATATGCCAAGATTCTACAACTCTGATAATCTGGGTGTCAGGAAATCACCTTACAATCCATTCTTCTCCGTGCAGGTGACGACCATTGCTGTAGTCTCACTCATTCGTCTCGGTGGAAACATGTTGAAGAAGCGCAGTTTATTACACCCATATGCAGATTGCCATCCAGAACAGTTCGCCCTGAGTGACTCACCTCACTGGTTCTAGTTCTGCGTGAGCACAGTGCCCTCCTACCCACGCAGACAGGCACTTGCAGTACCTGATGCCTGTTACATAACTCCCAGACTGCACGGAGATAGCCAAGTGTGAGGATTCGTATCAAGCCTCTGGAAGGAGACAGCTGCAGATACTAATTCATCTTTCTTATAACCTTTTCCTAACTAGGCCCAGTTAAAGGGCATGCCTGAGAAATCTGCCGTGGGGCTCAGGAAGATTGCAGAATTATTACCTCATCCAATGAATTATTAATGTTCATCTACCAAAAAATAAAAACATGATTGAGTATTTGCTACAAAAAGGTGCAATACAATGAAGTAGACTGTATGAGCTAGATCAGTGGATTCAGGTGGTTTTACAGGAGGAAGTACCTGATTAAAAAACAAAGTGAAAGGACCAAACATATCAGGAAACACTTAATCATGTACCTGAAATACAAATGAAGCTCTGAAAAATATACACCTAATCTACCCACCACCCATGTTTTATTCTGGAGCCTTAAAACCACCCACCTCCATCCCTCACATTTTAAAAGCGACACTAAACTCAGGAATGAAATCTTTAAAAAACATTCAAGTACCTTAACTATTTCAAAAAATTTATCTTATTTGTGTATCACACAGCGTAGATCCTCAAATCATGTCTGAACTGGTGATGACACTGTCCTTCCTTCCGGAGGGGGGCTACTTTTGTTCCGCATGGTCCCTGTGTATGTTGTAAAGTAGTCACTGCTTCAAGCTCACTCCTGTGATGGACTACAATCTCAATACAAATTTGCTTACTAAACATGAAATTGTAGTCCATCACAGGAGCGAGCTTGGAGCGTTGACTACTTTACAACATAGACAGGGACCAAGGGGAACAAAAGTAGCCCCCCTCCAGAAGGAAGGGCGGTGTTGGCAGGAATGATAAATTAGATGATTTGAGGATCGACAGCGGACTATTTCACAAATTAGGTAATATAAAATATATAATCACTTTTAGGCTAGCAATCTTAATTTATTGTTGGTATGTGAGAGATTATATTATGATTTGTGAGAATAATTCAGTGCTAAACTAGAGAATGCAAATCAGTAGAAATACTGCACCATTGAGCAGCATGCCCAACCAACATGTGGGAGAAATGTACATTGGAAAATTTAAAGCAGAACGCCCCCTCCCAGATATCTTCAGCCAGTCACGCAACACACGGTGCTTTTTAGATCTTCTCCTGCAGTGGGCAGTTCACAATGATGCAGAGGTGGTTGCCTACAAGATGAAGGCAAAGCTGCTCTCTGCATCATTGTATGTGAGTTTAGGGCACCACTTTAGGGGGCAAGTCCAGGATGCTCTGCTTTCACAGGAAAGCAGGGATAGGACTTCCAGCTGGGCGTCATTCAACCTGGGAGGGGACAGCACTGGACAGTATTGAAGCCAGAGCTGCTTTTGTTTTGAACAACTGCTGGGGCATGATTACAAAAAATACCCTCCTCATTTATCTCTAAGAACCAGGTGGGGTTTATGCCAGGCAGAGAGGTGGCTGACATACCAGGCACATTTATTATACATATTACCAAACAGAGGGTGGTGAGGGTGATAGTGAGAGCATGAAATCTCCTCCACTCCTCTTTGAAGAAGTTAAACATAAAATTGAACCAAATAATGGTCTTTGGGAAACCGCAGTGCTGAAAGATGTCCTGCCCCCCTGCGAGTTTTCACATAGACTTCATCACAACCACTCACTCGAAAACCATCTTTACTCTTACAATTTCTGGGGCCCTAAGATGTTGGGTAAATGTATAGGACACTCCCAGGATACTGATGGGGTACTCACTGTGGGCACACTTTTTTACCTCCTAGGGTGCCCAGTATGGATGTAGTTCACCCCTCTCATTTGCCCCCTCACCCTACCCATCATCTCTTACCTTCCCCTAGCCCCTTCCTTTTATGCCATCCTTCTCTCTCACCTATTCCCCCTCTACGATACCTGTATTCTCCCGACCCCTAGCTGAAAAACTGTAGTTTGCTCCACTGAACTACATGAACAGGGCACTATTGAGATATATAAATGTGTTCCCTGTCATACACTTTCTCTTCTGCACAAGAAAAAAAGCAGGTCATCAAGGGAGCACACAGAAACCAATTCTATTGTATGTGCTTCGTTTACACTAAACGGAGTGTAAAGTTTGTACACTCTCAAAGTTGAAAAAAAAGTAACCTTGTAGAAACCGCAATTAGTAAAATGTCCTTCTGTGACATAAAAGAGAACTAAAGCTAGACTCCACCTGACCAACCGCTCAGTGTCTGCAACCATCATCTGCCAATCCCTACACTGGCTTCCACTCGCCCAAAAGGATAAAATAAAAAATATTAAGAATCACTTACAAAGCCATCCACAACTCTGCCCCGGGCTATATCTCATACCTTGTCTCGAAATATCACCCTAACCGTCCACTCCGCTCATCCCAAGACCTCCTGCTTTACAGCCCCCTCGTCAACTCCTCCCATACTCGCCTCCAGGACATCTCTAGAGTCTCTCCCATCCTCTGGAACTTTTTACCCCAACCTGTCCGTCTATCTCCCACTCTGCCTACCTTTAGGCGATCCCTAAAGACTCATCTCTTCAGTGAAGCCTATGCCACCTCAACCTAACCACTGAACTATCACATTCTCAAACAATTCATCCCCGCACAGCTACCGCCTCATGTATCACTGGCCTCTCCCTTTTAGATTGTAAGCCCTCACAGACAGGGCCCTCCTTACCACCTTGTCTTGAATTGTATTGTAATGTCTTATTTATAATGTAAGGCGCTGCACAAACTGTTGGCGCTCTATAAATCCTGTATAATAATAAAGCCAAAAAAGGTTTAATAATCAAGAGCGGTTATATTTTCCATATAAAATACCTCCAAAGATGGCTGACAGGTGGACAAAGCTGGGGTAATGGTCAGAGTTTCCAAGAGGTACAAGACTCCAGCAAAACTTTGAGCTAAAATCTGTGTGTTGGATAAACTCTGATTTTTAACCAGTTAAATATGGTAAAGGTTTGTTCTAAACAGTGGGTTAGAACAGAACAGTTAGAACAACAGTGGGTTGTTCCATAGCGGATGGTGCGCCAGCTATGGAACAAGCCATTAGTGACCATATACCAATATTTGTAAAGATAAGAAAGTGTCAAACGTTTCTCTGTCCTATATAAATATGGAGCACTGTACAGTAACTGGCTCTTTGCATCTGATATAACCAGTAACAGTGCATCCATATGGTGGATTTACTTAAAAATGTGGATGTCAATATGTCTGTGAAGGTTCTCATTCATCCAGGTCAAGGTATAGCTGTAAAAAAAAAAAAAAACAAGGCAAATGGACTAACTGTCTTTTTTTGAAGATGTTTCGCTGTTCATCTGAATAGCTTTCTCAATTCAGGAAGCTGAGAAAGCGAATTGGATGACCAGCGAAATTTCTTCAAGAAACGACAGCAAGTCCAGTTGCCTTGATTTATTTTTCACAGATGTGAATGTCAATGCTTCTAGATCTTCAGACCCATAATTCAGCCATCATATGTGCTCAACTATTTCCTTTTAAGCAAGACAAAAGATGCAAAGCTTAATCAAAGACAAAAGCTTCATCACTATAAAAATAGCTTCCTTCCCTAAATCAATTGTCAGGTCTGTTAGTCTGTGTAAACAAAGTGTCTACTCATTCGGCTTCTAGTCCCTTTCTACTGGTATGCAGGTTGGGCACTTATTGTCATTACTGTAAAAGCGCGGTAATATAGCAGTATGTAATTGGCACATTAGATTTAGCTCAGATCCAAGAAGTATTAAATAACATATAGGACATTCACTGTAGGTGAATCTTCCTGGAGAATGTGTTAAAATAGAGCGACTGATTCACCACCAGTAAAACCTTGGTGAATGTCACATTCACTGCAGAAACAGGTTTTATTCTATTTCAGTGCTCCTGTAGACCATCTGAGGAAGAAATGTATGAATAAGCTGCAGAATTACATTAGATCTGTCGCATTGCTCCTTTTTAGCTTCGCCTTGCTGTGTGTCAAAATTGATATACTATATATTGACACACAATTCAAGCTCAGCATGCCATGAAACAAATGCATAAGCAGATGTCACCTTTGTTGATCAAACATGTCAAAAGACCATTAGATTCAGAGACACACAGTAGATTGTTCAAGTTATATAAAAATCTGGAGGTCTAGCATGGACCTGTCAACTTCATCTAAGGCCAACTGTATTTTTTAGCCCCCACTTTGAGGTTGTCACCAGAATACAAATCTTCCAATGGGGACACTTGTTCCAGGGACAACTTACCTAATTTTGGGGAGATTTCCTCTCACTTCCTGTTGGGTGCACAGGACACGAAGCAAAAGGGGAATCTCCCCAGTGGTACACAGATTGTTTTTAACCTTTCCCTACTCTATCCAAAATGAAGAAAGAAGGTTTTTGGCTTTCTTTCTACTTTGAAACTTCCAAACCTCCTTATTGGTCAGTGAGGTGAGGAAGCAGCAGAACCAGTTGCAAACTAAAGAAGATTTGCATATCACATCAGAGGCCTTAACATGCAGTCTTCAGGTAACTTCTGATAAAAGGTTTACATACTCAGTTTGAATTGTCCAACTTTGTGCCATGTATTACTCTATATTAAGCCTGCATTGTACAGACTTTCTTCCCTAATGTCCAGTTTTTTTTATTGGGTATCTGCAGGAGAGTATGCTCAAGCTAAGAGTAGGCATCAAGCCTGGGAAATAAAGTAGAACTGAAGCCAACACTTTTTTCAGTTTTGGATAAAGTAAGGGAATGTTATAACTAGAGGTGCACGGAAATGAAAATGTCAAAACCGAAACAAAACTGAAAAAGGAAAAAAAAAAATGTCGGGCCAAAACTGAAAAAACATTTTTTCTAACTTTTTAAAATATTTGATTTTTAAA